CTTGACCCCAAAGTGGCGATCAGCATTTCCCGGGGCGTGCAAGAAAAACTGTGCGGGCTGCTTGCAAAGGGGAGGGGGGTGTCTCCTCCCCCATTTTGCAAAACTTAATGCATGAACTTGATATCAGGCTGGGCTCAATATGAGTCTTTCGGTCTAGCAAAGGAGAAGTCTGAAGGACAGCAGGCCAAAACGTCGGTCGTGGTTTTTCTTTCACAGCCTCTGCTGAGGAGCTGTCCCTTGGGCTGTACGCCTTCTGCAGGGTGCTCTTTGGGTGGGCAAGACTCTGACTTTTCTCAGTCATCGCTGAGGGGGTGTTAGCTTCGTGAAACCCTTATCCCTTGAGAGAAGGAGACGGCCTCAGGCTGCCCCAAGAATAAAGAAAGATAGCCTTGTCGTGGTTAAGTGCGTTGATTCTAATCTGGGAGAACCGGGTTTGATTCCCCACTCCTCCACTTGCACCTGGCTGGACGACCTTGGGCAAGCCGTAGTTCTGACCTGACCCGGATAGCCCAGGCTAGCCCGATCTCATCTGATCTCAGAAGCCAGCTTGGTGTACTGGTTAAGAGCACAGACTCTGATCTGGGAGAACCGGGTTTGATTCCCCACTTCTCCACATGCAACTGCTGGTGTGACCTTGGGTCAGTCACAAGTTCTCTCAGAGCTGTTCTCTCAAGGGCAGTCCTCAAAAGAGCTCTCTCAGCCCCACCTGCCTCACAGGGTGTCTGTTGTGGGGAGGGGAAGGGAAAGGAGATTGCAAGCCGCTCTGAGACTCCTTCAAGTAGTGCAGGGAGGGGTATACATCCAATCTCCTCCTGTCCCCTCTTCTCCTTGTTGGCCCTAATTAGTAACAATAATTGTCGTATGGCAGTGTGTGTAATACAGTCATCCTGAAATTACCTGGTAACCAGAAGTTCTATCTCTTTTAGCATTATGCACTACTAGGCGGCGAGGGAGACGTCTTTTTTTAAGGCAAGAGATGCTTCAGAGTGGGTTTGCCATAACCCGCTTCTGCGTCACGCCCCTGGTATCCCTCGGAGGCCGCCCATCCAAAATACCAGCCAGGGCCGACCTTCCTTAGCTTCCCAGATCTGACGAGACCGGGCTAGCCTGGGCCATTCAGGTCAAGGCGCCCGGTTAGTATTTGGGTGGGAGACCACGAAGGAATTTCATAGTTTGCTGCACAGAGGAAGACAGTGGACGGGCTCGCCGTTAAGTCGGCTGTGACTTGGCAGCACTTCACAGACACACACTTGTTATTTATCTTATTTTATTATTTATTTAAACGTATATCCCACCCTCCCCGGAGGCTCAGGGCGGCTAACAGGGGCATACGCCCAATAATAACAATAAAACCAGTATAAAATACACAGAAATACAGAAACAGTTAAATAATTAACTAAACCCATAAAACAGTTCGGTGCTCCCCTACTCAATTCCAGATTTTACAGTCAAGATGGTGTTCTCAGTTGTGTAGCTATATAGCAACAGCAGTGCATTTCCCCCCCTGCCGTGCTGTCCCCTAAGCATGTCCCGCTCCCTCCGATGGAACCTGCACCAGCGGTGGCAGTGTGTGGAGAGTATAGGGCGTTGATGGAACAGTGGTGGTGACGACTCCTATTCGAAAGCCTGGCGGAAGAGCTCCGTCTTACAGGCCCTGCGGAACTGTACAAGCTCCGTCTTACAGGCCCTGCGGAACTGGACAAGGTTATAGAACAGCTGTCTCCCCGCCCCCCCTCTCCCGTCCCCCCCGCCCCCCCCCCGCCTGCCACTAATTACAGTGGCCTTGCCCCTCCTCAATTGCTAGAGGACCCTGGTGTCTTTGCTTTCCCGTCTCTGAAATGGGAACAGAACACGCATGGGCCCAAGAGATTTGACAGTCAGCAGTGGCTGGCGGGAGAGGGATGGCGCGTGCTTTTGGGGAAGGGCTGATGTCATCTCACTTCTAGTTCTGCTCCTCGCTCCAGCATGTGGTCCGTGCCATGAGGATACCCCCCCCACCCCCCACCCCCACACACGGAAAGTTGGTTTGGAAGTGTCTTTTTGTATCCTGACTTGGCCTGTTTCCTGGGCGCGCCTTTCAGATCCTGATGATGGTGGGGCTCCCTGCTGCCGGGAAGACCACGTGGGCCATTAAGCACGCGGCAGCCAATCCGGGCAAGAAGTACAACATCCTGGGAACCAACGCCATCATGGACAAAATGAGGGTAACGTTTCTGTCATGCGCCGCAGCGCCTTGTCTCCTCCTCCGATGAACGGGACTGATTCTCTTTGCAGGCCCTTCATGTTTCCGCTCTGTTCTGAGATCCCTCCTAGGCAACACCCGTATAGGCACCTCTCTGTAGTGTTCCGTGGTGATGCACGTTGCGCCACATCCTCAGTGTCTCCTGTGTGTTTTCGCTGCCATCGGAAACTTTCATCTTAGACTTCTTCGCTGAGCCTAAAGAACAGGGTGGCTTTGCAGGCCCGTAGCTGGGATTTTGTGGCTTGTGGGGCAAATTTTTTTTTCCAGTGGGGCTGCCATTATTTGCCGTAATGAAGTGGGGGGATAACACCCGCCCCTCTCCCTCCCCTCCTGCAAGACTTAAAGGGCCCTTCAGCTGATTGGCTGGTAGCATGTGGCCCGCCGATCAGCTCGAGGACCCTTTAAATCTTGCAGGAGGGGAGGGAGAGGGACATGCTCCACCCCCCCACTTCTTCTCAGAAGACTTCAAAGGATTCTCAAAAGCATTTAAAGGCCCCCCCCAGCTTCTTCCCCCAAAGCATTTAAAGTTAAGACGCTGAACTGCAGGCTGTGGAAGGTCAGTAGTTCAGCAGTTTGAGACCCGGGTGCCGCGAGACGGAGTGAGCTCCCGTCTCTAGTTCCAGCTCCTGCCAACCTAGCAGTTCGAAAGCAAGACATTGCAAGTAGATAAATAGGTACCACTTCGGTGGGAAGGGAACAGCGTTCCGTGCGCCTTGGTGTTTAGTCATACCGGCCACATGACCACGGAAACGTCTTCGGACAGCGCTGGCTCTTCAGCTTGGAAATGGAGATGAGCACCGCAACCCTAGAGTCGGATTCGACTGGCTTTCGAGCAAGGGTACCTTTACCTTTACCTTTTACCTTAAATGCTTTTGGGAAGAGGCCGGGGGCCCTTTAAAGAAGGGGGCGGAGCCCCCAGTAGTCCACTGTGACGGGGGGGGCAGTGGGTTTCCTGCATGTGCAGGAGAGGCAGGTTATAAATGGAAAATAATAATATTTGATAGAATGACAGAACAGTCAGTGCCTCAGGGTGGTTCTAAGGTAAAAGGGGATCCTGTACTCCAAATAATATAACTGTTTTCCCTGAAGCACTTCATTTAGAAGCATAACAGCATAACGGTTTCAGTAAGGTTCATAAGTATGATGGTTTCAGATAGATACATAAGTGTAATGGTTTCAGACGGGTAAAGTTTTTAGATCTAGCCACAAAGGTTTATTTTCTCACTCGCCACTCAGGCTGATAACTTCCACAAAGCTTTAATTTCCTAACTTGCCACTTCGGCTTAAGAACTTCCACACAGAACACAGATTTCTGTCGCACCGCTTCACTCGCCACCCACTCAAACTCCCTTCCATCCCACACACGCTGAACTCGCCATCTCCATAAACCAGTCACCTCTGCCCCCCTAGGGTACAGCTACCATTGCGATCCTTAATGCTTGCCACTCCCAGCTCCCTTAACGAAGCCTGCCTTGCCTCTCAGGTAATGGGACTTCGACGCCAGCGCAACTACGCCGGCCGCTGGGACGTCCTCATCCAGCAAGCCACGCAGTGCCTGAACCGCCTGATCCAAATCGCGGCCCGGAAGAAGCGCAACTACATTCTCGATCAGGTATTGAACCCTTCCGCACCGCGGGCCTGTGCCTCTCTGGCTTGCCTCCACACATTTCAGCACTTCCAAAAAGCGCCACGGCAAATTGGGTCAGTCTTCTGTGCAAACATGCCTGTCTTAACATCTGGACAAAAGGCGTGCTACTGTCTTCCTCCTTTCCCTCCAAAATGCATAAGGTAATGAAGGTCACAGTAATTTGTAGATTCATGTGTTGGTCTGAAGTAATAGAACAAGTTTGAGCCCAGTGGCACCTTTAAGACCACCGGTGTTTAACTCTGGGTATAAGCTTTTGTGCGTATGCGCAGTATCTGATGAAGTGCGCGCACACCCGAAAGCTTATACCCAGAATTACTTCTTCTTCTTTTTAATAACCTATTTATTTAATTTTTAGACAGACAAACAAAATATAAGGACATATAATTATTATGACACATCGGGTGCGTTCAGACGCGGCCTTTCTGCCGGCATAAACGCGATCAGACTCACCCTCCATCTTGCGAATGCCTCCGTTGGACGCCCGCTCATACGCTGCGGGTGTCGGCTTTTTTTTTTTTTTTTTAAAGAAGTCGTTTGTTTTTGTTTTTTTAAGCAGTTTGAGCATGCGCACAGGCAGCCATTCGGAGAATGGCGATTTTTGCGCATGCTCAACCCCCCCCTTACATTTAAACTTTAAAGGTAAGCACTTACCTTTAAAGTTTAAACCCCAACCTGGCCTCCCTGTAGTCCCGGACTCCTCCGGGACGGTAAAGTAAGGGCTTTTTTTAAATATATAAACAAACGCTCAGGGCAAAGGTTCGCCTGAGCGCATATCGCTTAGTTTTTTTTAAAAAAATGGCGGGGGAAAGCCGGAAGCCTCAGGCTTCCGACGGAAGTGGCTAGGCACCGGTGGAGAGCGATCAGACGCCGGTTTGTATCGGAAGCCACCGTTGTACTCTGTTTACCACCACTTCGGACCTAGTGGCAGAGTACAACGGTGTAAAAGGATTTACAACGGTTAGGGACGGGAGGCAGATGTTTGCCGTGTGAACGCCCGTAAGTACACCGGTTGGAACCGGCACCCTAACCGTTGTAAATCCCCCGTCTGAACGCACCCATCAACTCCCAAGTTTGGGTTAATACGTTATCCATACATTCTCCATTCAGAAAAGTCAATACATATTCTTTTAGTACCATAATCTATTGATCTTTCCCACTCTTATAACAAGTATCATGTATTACAGGATTCTTTAAATTACTCCCAACAAATAAATTTATATTCAATCCGACTTACAACTCCTATAGCCTCAAAGCCATTCTCAATAAACCACCTTAACACTAGTATTCTATTTGTTTAATAAACAAACAGAATTACTTCTTCGCATGAATCTTTGTTGGCCTTAAAGGTGCCACTGGACTCAAAACTCCGCAGTGATTTGTAGTACTTCAAAACAAGGTGGCAAGTTGTATGTGAAAAAAACGAGGGCACCGGTAAGTTTCGTCGCCGCTAAACATGGTTTTCATGCCTGAGGTTATAGGCTGAGGTGAGTACTAGAGTAGGTCATAGTAAGGATTGCAGCGTCAAGAACCGCCCGCCCGCCTTGTTTTGGATACGGTGCTTAAAGACCAGCTCGGTTAAGGTCGGGCAACTATACGCCCACGCACCCGCTGTACAAACTGAGGACCTCCTTTTGTGGGGCACAGGGTGCTGGAAGAAACGAACCCTTTAGTTTAATACCAGCAGGGGTAGTTCTTCAGCAAGAATCGGGCCTGGGAAGAGTACCTGGTCCACTCACAAGGCCTCAGTAACTCTGGTGAATTCATGAAACTGCCTTATACTGAATCAGATTATTGGCCCTTCAACGTCAGCGGCGTCTGCTCAGATTGGCAGCGTCTCCCCAGGGTCTCAGGCGGAGATCTTTCCCATCACCTCCCGCCCGGTCCTTTTAACTGGAGATGCCGAGGATCGAACCTGGGACTTTGCATGCCGAGCAGAGGCTCTGCCACTGAGCTACAGCCCCACTTCATGGCTCTCCAGGGTCTCAGGCGGAGGTCTTTCCCATCACCTCCCGTCTGGTCCTTTCAACTGGAGATGCTGGGGATCGAACCTGGGACCTTCTGCATGCCAAGCAGAGGCTCTGTCACTGAGCTACAGCCCCACCTCATGACTCTCCAGGGTCTCAGGCAGAGGTCTTTCCCATCTCCTCCCGCCCAATCCTTTTAACTGGAGATGCCGGGGATTGAAGCTGGGACTTTGCATGCCGAGCAGAGGCTCTGCCACTGAGCTACAGCCCCTCTCCTTGGCTCTCCAGGGTCTCAGGCGGAGTTCTTTCACATCACCTCCCGCCTGGTCCTTTTAACTGGAGATGCCGGGGATTGAACCTGGGACCTTCTGCATGCCAAGCAGAGGCTCTGCCACTGAGCTACAGCCCCTCTCCTTGGCTCTCCAGGGTCTCAGGCGGAGGTCTTTCCCATAACCTCCTGCCTGGTCCTTTTAACTGGAGATGCCGGGGATTGAACCTGGGACCTTCTGCATGCCAAGCAGAGGTTCTACCACTGAGCCACAGCCCCCCTTCATGGCTCTCCAGGGTCTCAGGCGGAGGTCTTTCCCATCCCCTCCTGCCTGGTCCTTTTAACTGGAGATGCTGGGGATCGAACCTGGGACCTTCTGCATGCCAAGCAGAGGCTCTGCCACTGAGCTACAGCCCCACTTCATGACTCTCCAGGGTCTCAGGCAGAGGTCTTTCCCATGCCATCCCGCCTGGTCCTTCAACTGGAGATGCCAGGGATTGCCTGGGACCTGCATGCCAAGCAGAGGCTCTGCCACTGAGCTACAGCCCCACTTCATGGCTCTCCAGGGTCTCAGGCGGAGGTCTTTCCCATCTCCTCCCACCTGGTCCTTTCAACTGGAGATGCCGGGGATTGAACCTGGGACCTTCTGCATGCCGAGCAGAAGGTCTGCCACTGAGCTACAGCCCCACTTCATGGCTCTCCAGGGTCTCAGGCGGAGGTCTTTCCCATCTCCTCCCGCCTGGTCCTTTCAACTGGAGATACCGGGGATTGAACCTGGGACCTTCTGCATGTCAAGCAGAGCCACAGCCCCTCCGTGGGTGCTGGGTTGGCTGTACTGCTCAGAGATTTAAATAACATACCATTTAAACAAGGCAGATTTTTATATTCAAGCTGTCCGAAGCTGTTTCCTCAGCTTTCTCCTCAAAATGCAAATTCCTTTCTCTTTCTGAACAAAGAGGAGCTTGTTTTCCTAGGAAACCTCATTTGAATTGCAAAAGGATGCCACTTGCTTGTCTGTTTATTCCTTTGGAAAGGGACATTGGGGGGGGCCACTTGAGGGGCGCGCACCCATAGCCACTGAAGCGGGCGCATCCTTCCATGTAACTGTGCAGTTCGGGGGTGGGGGGGATGAGCCACCACATCCTAGAGTCCTCGCTTCACCCAGGCTGCCTTGCTCAGTTTAAATAAATAATTCAAAACAGCAACAGCCGCCAGACCGCCGAGTAACAACCCGTCTTTCTGCCTCCTCTTTGTCACCGTCCCCAGACCAATGTTTACGGATCTGCCCAGAGACGAAAAATGCGCCCCTTTGAAGGTTTCCAGCGCAAGGCCATTGTAATTTGTCCCACGGACGAGGATTTAGAAGACCGAACAATAAAGCGCACTGATGAGGAAGGGAAAGATGTGCCCGATCACGCAGTGTTAGAAATGAAAGGTAGGATCCTGGAAGGGTGGAGGTGTGGGGGAGGGTCCACACACATACACGTGACCTGGGAGAAATATAAAGTTTCAGGCAGTAATTCACACCCCCTTGTAATCCTTGAGCTTTCTCCCTGGTCTTTCCTCTTTCCACCTTCTCTGCCCCCCCCCCCAGTGTGAAGCCTTCCCCTTCTGTCCCTCCCCCATGCCAGAAGAAGAAGAGATTGGATTTATACCCCGCCCTTCACTACCCAAAGGAGTCTCAGAGCGGCTGACAATCTCCTTTCCCTTCCCCTCCCCACAACAGACACCCTGTGAGGTAAAGAAGAAGAAGAAGAGATTGGATTTATGCCCCACCCTTCACTACCCAAAGGAGTCTCAGAGCGGCTGACAATCTCCTTTCCCTTCCCCTCCCCACAACAGACACCCTGTGAGGTAAAGAAGAAGAAGAAGAGATTGGATTTATGCCCCACCCTTCACTACCCAAAGGAGTCTCAGAGCGGCTGACAATCTCCTTTCCCTTCCCCTCCCCACAACAGACACCCTGAGAGGTAGGTGGGGCTGAGAGAGCTCTCTTGAGCCATTCAGAGCTCTCTCAGAGCAGAACAGCTCTGAAAGAACTTGTGCCTGACCCAAGTTCACACCAGCAGCTGCATGTGGAGAAGTGGGGGATCAAACCCAGTTCTCCAGATTAGAGTCCGCCGCTCTTAACCACGACACCAAACTGGCTCTCCACCTGTACTAGCTGTTTTCAATCACCTGGTTGAGCTCGAACATACCAAGAATTGGGAAGGAAGAGTTGTCCATAGTGCATTTAGGCACGAGAGATATGGATTTAAACACCCCCAAAGCAAGCATGGCCACCTCCCTTCTCTCTGTCTCTAACACCCATCACTGGGCTGTCACAAGGGGCGTGGCAAGAATACACCTGGGGTGCCTCCACATGTGCTGAGTAATCCACTTCCAGTGCAGTTTGCAATTGGATCTTACAGCAAAACCCACTTGCAGATGATCGCTAAAATGAACTGAAAGTGAACTGAAAGTGCATTGGTCAGCACTTGGGAAGGGCCCCCGGGAAGAAAAGCCGGGGGGGGGGGGGGGGGGGGGAAGCATTCCTAGTCCAGGACACCAGAATCAAAGTGTTTCCCCTACACAAAACTGAAAACGGCAGCCTGAACAGTGAGGCAGACTATGGATATGCCCCGGCTGTTGGAAACGTTTTCGAGGATCCGTGGGGAAGGGCTCCGGCCCCACTCTGCCTGCCCCTGTTTCAAGGAAAGGCAATTCCTTCCAGAAGCAAAGACCGTCCACTACGATGTGGGGAGGAGAGGGGTCTCCCCAGAAGAGTGCCAGACCCTGCCTGTCTTCAGAGGCCAGAAACCACAGTCTTGCTGGATTCGGTAGGACTAGCAGTTGAGCTAACAGGCACAGACTGGGCTGCGAGCCTCGCTTTCACGCTCAGCAGCCTCAAGACGTTTGGCAGAGTTGTGTCAGGAGTGAAGGGAAAATCCACGCTCTTTGGGCCGTGTGTTGCAGTTCTGGGGGATGATTTCCTGCCCAGAGAGGGAAATGCAAGCTCAATGCCTTGCGCAAGGATCCCCAACACGGTCCCCGCGGGTATCATGGTGCCCACAACCACTTTTTCTGGTGCTCACCAAGTGTTTTGAGGGTCAGGTGGGGCTCTTCCCTGGCCAGGCTTCTGATTGGCCACTGGGAGACTGGATCGGCAGCGCAGACTTTTGAAAAAGTTGCCCTGGTAGCATCTACCACTAGAGCCCAAGGGATCTTCGCTGCATGACGGGACGCCAGCTGCGGCAGCCGTTCTGCATCCGGCTCAGCCTCCTGAGGCAGCCAAAAGTGCCCACAGGCTCAGAAAGGTTGGGGAGCCCTGGGCCTTGTGTGTTCTTATTTTCCACACAGGTTGGTGCGGTTGTAGCCGTTAGGAGCGTGGACTCTAATCTGGGAGAACCGGGTTTGATGCCCCACTCCTCCACGTGCAGCTGCTGGTGTGACCTTGGGTCAGTCACAAGTCCTTTCAGAGCTGTCCTCTCAAGGGCAGTTCTCGAGAGAGCTCTCTCAGCCCCGCCTACCTCACAGGGTGTCTGCTGTGGGGAGGGGAAGGGAAAGGAGATCGTAAGCCGCTCTGAGACTCCTTTGGGTAGTAAAGGGCAGGGTATAAATCCAGTCTCTTCGCTTCTTCTGGTGGACCCTCCTGAAGGCACCTGGTACTTTTGGCCACTGTGTGACACAGAGCGTTGGACTGGATGGGCCTTTGGCCTGATCCAGCATCGGCTTCTCTTATGTTCTCTTATGTTCTTCTTCTGGAAGTGGGGGCCGGTAGCCAGGTTGACGCCTTTGCATCTCTTCCAGCTCTGTAACTTAGTCCCACAAAGTTGTTGGCTATTATGTTGCCACTTGAGCTGTTAATGCTAGACAGCCTGAAACCAGCAGGGCAGGGGTCCCCTACCTCCTTGAGCCCGCGGGCACCTTTTGAACTCACGACACAGTTTGATGGGCACAGCCACAAAACGGCTACCGCCGCTGACCTTCAGTCTCATAGCAAAGATCCTTGTGCTGCGATGGCAGCCAGTGTTTCCCTCTAAGCTGAGTTAGTGTGAGCCAGCTCATGGGTTTTTTAGCTTCCAGCTCACACATTTTTGCCTTAGGAAGGGGTGGCTCCAGAGCGAACTAAGTTATGCCGCTGCCGAATCGCTCGCTCACAGCTTTAATGCCAGTAGCTCACAAAGTCGAATTTTGTGCCATTCGACAGTAGATAGAAACGCTTGAACATGTGTTTATTCCATGTACTTTCTACTCGGACCTGCGCCTTACATTCATCGAGCCATGGTTGAGAAAGTATTCAGGAAAGCCTGATCAATGTAAGATTTACTTCTTGCTGACAACCCAGAATCACATAATAATTGAAAGCGTTGCAAAATTTCTGTATGAAGCTTCAGGAAAGCGTTCAGTTGAGTCTTACGTTCCGTAGGTTATGCCAGTAAAGGCCGATCGATCGATTGAAGTCTGATTTTGGCTCACAAGACCCCACAAAACGTAGAGGGAGCATTGGCGGCAGCCACTGCCAAAGCAGTGTTTTGAAAAATCCGCACGGCCAATCAAATCTCCAGTGGCCCATCGGAAGCTTTCCCGGACAAAAGCCCCACCTTGCCCTGCCCACTTTTCTAAAAGCACTTGGCGGGCGCCAAGAAAGGTGTCAGCAGGTGCCCTTGGGGACTCTGTTGGGGACCCCCTGGCAATAGGATACCCCCCTGATAGTGGCTTGGCAAGATGGGAGCACGTAACCTTGTGTGTCTGCATCATGGCACGTCTCTTTTTTCCCCCCTGCCTTATCTCATTTTCCCTCCCTTTCTGGAGCCTTGGAACAAAACCACGCTTCCTCTCTGCCTTTTGCCCCGTGTACGGCTGACGGGCATCTCTCTCCCTGTGTCCCCCTCTCTTGTCTCCCCAGCCAACTTCTCGCTGCCCGAAGCGGGTGACTTCCTGGACTCGGTGGTCTACATCGAATTGCAGCGGGACGAAGCGGAGAAGCTGGTGAGGCAGTACAACGAGGAGGTTGGCGGCGGCACCGTTGGGGGCGGAGGATGCAGAGGTGGCGGCGGCAGTGGTGGCGGCGGCGGCAGCAACAGCGGTGGCGGAGGCGGTGGTAAGCCTACCCAAAGGGAATCTATTGGTATTGGATTGTGTGTGACCTTACATTCGTGGGCAGAGACTGCTAAGGCTGAACACGTTGACAGAGGGGTGAGCTAGGAAAAGGAATTCCGGCTTCGGTTCTCACCGTCTTCTACTGTAGAACAAACGTAGAGCCCAGTGGGGCACCTTTAAGAGCAACAAAGGTTTATTCAAGGTCTGTGCTCTCGTGGGCAAGGCACACTTTTTCATATACACTGGAAGGGTAGGATAAGGTTCAGACTTACAGACGGGGACTCAACAGCGAATTAACACGTGACGCGATGAAGTTTGAGACGTGCAAAAGTCAGAACGAAATAAGCTAACGTTATAAGGTCAACAGTTGTGAAGCAACGAATAGGTCAGAATAGCGGATAAATGCCTAAAGGTGTCTTTATTTAATTGCGGGAAGCCGACGGAGAACAGTGCCAGGGACGTGGCCTTTGGGTGCCACAGCAATTCCCACTCAAGCAGCAATAAGGAAGTCCTTCTTCACCCAAAGAGTCATTAACGTGTGGGATTCACTGCTGCAGGAAGTGGTGGCAGCGACAAGCATAGGCAGCTTCAGGAGGGGGCTGGAGAAACGTATGGAGCGGAGGTCCATCGGTGGCTGTTGGCCACAAGGGATAGATGGAACACTCGGTCTGGGGCGGTGATGCTTTGTATCCTTGGTGCTTGGGGGGGCAAGGGTGGGAGGGCTTCTGGAGTTCTGGCCCCGCTGAGGGACCTCCTGATGGCCCCTGGGTTTTGGCCTCTGTGCGACACAGAGTGTTGGCCTGGGTGGGCCATTGGCCTGATCCAACATACGTTCTGCCCATTACCCGCTCCGAGACCTTAAAGTGGGGCCGAACGGATAGAAATAGAAACAGGTGAGGAAAAGCTTGGGTGAAGGTAGAAGGTAGAGAGAGCGAAGGCTAATGCATAGCTCGGGAGCATTTGACCACGGCTTCCATTTTCTCACTTCCCAACTGTGGCTTCTTCGACAGGCTTCAGCAGGGGTGGCGGCTACGGCCAGAGTCGCTGGGGAAGCGGGAACCGCGACAACAACAACAACAGCAGCAGCAGCAGCGTCAACAGCCGGGGCAACTACAACCGCAACAGCCAGCAGCCGGACAACTACAGCCCGGCTCGGACCCAGAACACCTACAAGAGCAACAGCAGCGCCCCCCCTGCCCCCGCCCCACCCGCCCCCGCCCC